TCATGGAGGTAAACAGCTAATTCCATTATTAGAGATACAATTAAGATTTCACTTGATTCATTGGTAGAGAGTGTTGACAGATTGGTAGTGAATGCTGAGATTATTGCATCAAATTTGAGTGAACAGTTTGCTAGATATGGACATTCAATGGTTTTGGAAGGAAACACATTGTATAGTGTTGGTGGTTGTAATCAAAATCAAGATTTCACAGATTGTACATGTCTTGATTTGGGAAATGTTGGCCAAGGTTGGAAGATTGATACAACTCATTCTCTTTCATCCATTTTCAATGATTCTAATAAGGAAGAAGCTCAACCTGTACTTCATGCTCTTGTGCAAATTCCTTCCACTGATTCCTCTATTACTTATTTTGTAGTTGGAGGATTATTTCAAAAGACTCCTGACGTTTTGACAGTTTCTCCACCAACAACTACGTCTATTACTTCAAGTAAGAAAGACGGAAAATCAATAACCAAATCAGAAACAAGCTCATTTAATATTGATTTATTTAATGAGAAGGTGAATGATGACATTTTCAGAACAGTTCTATCATTTCTTAGCATTCAAGATTTAATGAAATTACATTTGGTTTCCAAATCATTGAGAATTTGCACTTTAACAACTGAAGATCAATATTGGGAAGATTTTTATTTCAAAAAATTGAGTGATTTTAAGGAGGCATCAAAACAAACTGTTGGTTCCTATGATTATGTACTTTGTAAATATGTTTTTGATACCACTCAATCAAGAATTTTCGATTCCTATTTACGTAAAAAGTCAAATTACAAGGAAAATCTCACTCAAGCTGTTCAAGCCATCATGTCAAAAGTTGAAAAGAAGAATATTGAAAGAACATTGAAAATTGAGGAGGTAAAACAACGTAAAGATGGAAGACAGTATTGTTCCAAGTCTGAACTTTTAAACTATTCTCATGTGGTTGAAATGTTAGACAAGTATCCTCCTCCTTATGGTGTTTTTAAGGTTGTTGCGGTAGGAGATGGAGCAGTAGGTAAAACAACACTATTAAAACGCTATTCTTCTGGAGATTATCCAAATGATTATATTCCAACTGTGTTTGACAATCACAATATAAGTGTAAAAGTTGAAGACAAGACTTATTCAATCGGTCTATGGTAAGTTATTTGAGCTATCTCTTTAATAATTTGTTAACATTTACAAAGGGATACTGCTGGTCCTGAAGGTGAGTTTTTTTGAATGGATTTAATTGAAATTAACCAATTTTAGATTATGATAGGTAATTAATCATTTTTATTTTTGTTTTCTTAATATTATTTAGATTACGTCCATTGGTAAGTATTGAAATTATATTTTTTGTAATAATATTGTAATAGTCCTACCCAGGGACATCTTTGTTCTTAGTGAACTTTAGTTGTGTGTCAGAGGCTTCATTTTTCAATGTTGTCACCAAATGGCTTCCAGAAATCAGACACCACTGTACTGCTCCTGTGGCATTAGTGAATACCAAGATTGACTATCGTACTGATTCAATTCTTAATAAGGAATTCATTCTTAAATATGAAGAAAAACCAATCACATTCGAACAAGGAGAGTTGATGGCCAAAAATATGGGTTGTGCCACTTATATTGAAACTAGCTCCAAAACAGGATATGGCCTTGATGATTTGAGTAGTGTCATTTTGAGAACAATTGCCGTCACCAAAGATGACAATTATTGTAGTAAAGTTCGTCCACAAAAGAAGTGTTTAGTGCAATAAACTAATAATTTGCTAAGTTTCTTGCCAGTACAAGCAAAGCTACCACTCAACAACTTTATAGTCTTTGAATAATTTACCATAACTGGTGGAATTGGTGAGGATTGGATGTAAAATTCTGTAAGCACCATCAATACATTTAATCAATATTCCTTGTTTGGCAAGTTGATTAGCGGCTGAATGCGTCAACATGTTGAGGGATGCCTTAGAAAGATTGGTTTGAATGTGGAAATCAGTTTAAAGTGTGGTGTGAGCCCTCATGTGAAGTTACATTAACCACATACGAATATGGTGAGTTATTTTCAAAATCAATGGACAGTAATTCCTCATCACTCAATTGAGGTCTCAGCAAATCAGTCAATTTGAAACTAAAAGTGTGGAG